ATACGGTCGTCAAAGGGTTAATGAAGCTACGCAGATCGCAACAGGTTAGGCAGGTCTCGCACAGGAGGAGAACACCTAACTCTACATTGATGGCCTCGGCCTGTTAAAAGGGATTCACCAACATCACAGTTAAGAGAATCTAGCACAGAAAAAAAACGTGATCCTCTCTCACCGATAAGTCAATGGCTTTACAATCACGGTTCAAGATAACAACGAAAAACGAAATGGCACTCGTGCCGCTAAGCAATCTCAAATTTGGAAGGTCTGTTACGCGTTCAAACTGCCGCCGTCTGTCGCAAATGTTGGCGATTGGAACGATCCACTTGGCTCTCGGATCCGACTAAAATTTTTTTTAGCCTCTCCCAAAGTTGGCAATAACATTTCCCTTTTCTTCTGCTTCCTATTTTTCCACTGACGTATTCATATGGGGAAGGGACGCTAAAGTTTTCCATAAACGATTCCTTTGATTTGTTGTTGTCTACTTCCTTCACAAAAACGTGATCATATTTGAGGTAGAGCTTTGCTGAAGGCCATTAATTTTGATGGAGCCTGATAGTCGTGTAGGCAGTTCAACTTTCATCAGCTTCAGAAAAAGAGTTTGGTTGAGGGCCATTAATTTTGATGGACCCTGATAGTGATAAAAGCGTTATCCTAAATGAAGCGCTTGCGCTGACCACACGTAAAAGTAGAATGGATTCACAATAGAAGTGATAGGTGGAGCAGACTTTTGAACGAAGCGTGATCTCTAGGAAGGTTTGAGACGACTGGATAAAATGGGATTTGTTTGGTATGCACCTCTTAGTTTGAAATGAGAACAGATCGATAACGACAACGGTACCGTAGCAAATACGTTGTCGTTAACATCCCCTTCACGTCTCCATCGAGTGGTACGCTCAAATTGAATGATGGCGAGCTGGTTTCCGGACCCTTAACCTGCCGCTGGTAACGCCCTATGAGCGCCAGCAACGGTACTCGCCGTGAAAACTCAAAAATTCACGCGAAAAACGCGATTTTGCGTTTTTTGTCTAGCTGTAATAACTAGGTCCATCAAAAGCCAAATACAACGTTGCGCCATGCACTCGATTTTCATCTCAAAAAGTAGTTGCTCGCATGTGATGTGTATATAATCCCGCTTATGCGGGCTGACCGCTACACACAAAGAAGGGCCTCAAAACTTACCCCAGAATGCGCCACGTACTCAATCTCATCCACTACATTGTGAGATTAGATGAATGTTATTTTCCGAATTCTTAGATCTTCATTTCGTTTTTAAGCGCTTACTGGCTTTACGTGTTCCCTCTGCTCTCAATATCCCATCCTCTGTATATCAAGTGGAATCTTTGAACAGTTCTCAGCAGGCATAGTGGGCCTATTATGTGACATTTTCCATTTTCAGAGATGTTTTGCAGAAAGCTGTGAAGATAGCGAACGAATTCTCTTCACTGTCGTAGACTACGGTTGCGTCTGGAATTATATAAAAACTTGGTCACACGGGGAGCGTTTTCCGTGGCGTGGCCTCAAACATCACTCTTCGTCATGCTCCTGTGGAATGATCAGATTTTTTTGCTCTTCTAGATAAATATAGAAACCTGAGATGTGACACTACTCGAGTCCCTATAAAAATGCTTCCAACGTAGCTACTATGAAAGAATTCCTCCCAGCTTCTCTCATTCTTGGTAACCTCGCATGTCAGTGTAAGTTTCAACAGCATTTCTTGTGCCCTCCAGAGGGTTGGCGCTGCAACGTTTATTAACACGTTGACGACATCGCGCGTTTTGGCATTTTTGGCCGCGTGGGACCAGAGCGGTTCTGCGAGCGCCGCCGCCTCACAACAAATCTGTGGATTTTGAGCTTTAAATACGCAATACTTCGATGCGACAAAATGTTTTCACTGATATTCGGTGTGTCAAACTTATTGGAAGGTACACATGTGAAAGTGCGGTCGAATGATGTGTTACAGCATTGAAAAGGCAAGTTTCACTTACTTTTGCTTTAGTGATTTCAAAATTATTTTGGACGTGGTTGTTTCGGTAAAAAACACATATCTTGCCACACGAGTAGCTTTGTACTCACTTCTAATATTCTTTTTTATCTACATGTTCGTGTTAATGAAAGAAAATGAGGAATGAACTGAACGGATATTTTCGTCCGGTCCGAAAAACCTCTGCCAAACTAAAGAATATTTGGTCATTCTATAAGCCGCGTGGTTCTTGGTTATGTTGTGGTATGGCCTAAAAATGAACACAAAAAACCTGGGAAGAAATGGCGCGTTCAAGAAAAAACTGAATGTAAAGGGTGTGGCAACTATAGTTGCCACAATGTCCATTGCGGCGTGCAAAACGCGGCAAACCTAGTTGCCGCGCTGTCGTCAAGGTGTTAAAACGTTTCGACTGAATCGTCGTCTTCAGAGGTTTGTTCTAACTGATCAGCGCTCCGTATGGCAGCGGACTTTTCCGCTCGAAAGGTGGAACCGACGGGACAAGTTCCACCGAACAACCTCGTAAGGCACAAGAAAATTTGTTAAACTTACAACTGGTATATGATATAGTTCGCAGCCAAAATTTTTGTTTTTTCACGGTTTTCAGCCCTCTCCTCTATTGCCGATCGCCTTCCCCAGCCCTTGGCGGCCACGTGCGATTCACGTGCGCGGTGCGTGAGAGCTCACGTGACAGCCGATGGCCTTCGGCCGTAGTTGGCGGGCAGCCCGATCGATACGTCGCTATGGCTGTTGCACGAGCGTGGGAACGGCGTCACGCACCGCGCACGTGGATCGCACGTGGCCGTGAAGGGCTGGGGAAGCCGATCGGCAGTGAGTAGAGGGCCGAAAACGGTGAAAAAACAAAGTTTTTGGGGACAAGTGTTGATAGTGTTTATGTCGAATTGACTGGTGCACATCTCAGGTTTCTAGAAGGCCAGGCCCATCTGGAAAAGCAAAAAATCTGATCATTTCAAGGGCATGACGAAAAGTGATGTTTGGGGTCACGCCACGGAGGAAACGCTTGTCTGCGAGCAAGTGTTCCATGTTTTAATAATTATTTCAATTATAATAATAATATTGATTCCATATGATTTCTGCAGAGAAGTGACAGTAGTCTACGCAAGTGAAGAAAATTGTTCGCTATCTTCACAGCTTTCTGCAAAACATCTCCTCTGAAAATGGAAAATGTCACATAATAGGCCCACTATGCCTGCTGAGAACTGTTCAAAGATTCCACTTGATATACAGAGGATGGGATATTGAGAGCAGAGGGACACGTAAAGCCAGTAAGCGCTTAAAAACGAAATGAAGATCTAAGAATTCGGAAAATAACATTCATCTAATCTCACAATGTAGTGGATGAGATTGAGTACGTGGCGCATTCTGGGGTAAGTTTTGAGGCCCTTCTTTGTGTGTAGCGGTCAGCCCGCATAAGCGGGATTATATACACATCACATGCGAGCAACTACTTTTTGAGATGAAAATCGAGTGCATGGCGCAATCCAAGATAGTGCCTCTAGAAATTGAGAGATTCTTATAGAACTCGACGAGCTGAATTCAACATGTTTTGGATTTTGAAAAGCTCAATTTTGAACCGAGTTATAACAAACGAAAAAAACGCAAAATCGCGTTTTTCGCGTGATTTTTCGGTTTTTACGGCAAGTACCGTATGATCTTCCTGAACAGGTCTCCCACCTTCCTATGCCTTCTTCTCTTTCTCCCACACTAAATTTAGCGTGAAAGCCGCCTTCAAACTGTCGTAAATTAATAAACAAAAAGTTCTTCAATTTACTCCGATTGTGTGATTGTTATTTACGCAGTCAAGCGAATTTTCGTCAACACAATTCTAATAAGACAATTAGACTTCATACAACCATGTACACATTGACGACACCACTTTTACCCAGCACAACAACACTACCACCAACATCGACAGCACTACATACTGCTAACTTCTCGATCACAGTCTCTATAAAATTCACCACACTATCTATTTCAGAAAGCAGGCTACCGATTTGACGAATTCGCACATGTGATGACTAATACGGTACTGTTTCAGCAACAACACTACCGATTTTGCCCACCACGCAAGAGATTCCGACTTCGATAGGATCTGCGATGACGACTAAAGAGCCGACAAGGACTACGTCAGGACCAACCAATATCACCACAACGCCAACAACGCCTACACCAACACTCCCACCCACCAAGACAAAAATGACAACGACAACGCCGAGACTCCCAGCCTTCACTACAACGCCGTTCTACGACTACGTCAGGACCATCGACCTTCACTACAACACCGTTCACGCCTACGTCAGAAACTTCTACCTTCGATACAACACCGTTCACGCCTACGTCAGAAACTTCTACCTTCGATACAACACCGTTCACGCCTACGTCAGAAACTTCTACCTTCGATACAACACCGTTCACGCCTACGTCAGAAACTTCTACCTTCGATACAACACCGTTCACGCCTACGT